TATAAGGTACAGAGGTAAGTAGGGAAGGTTACATAATTTTTTATGTCAACACCTTACCTCAGCTATTATGAACAATAATACTGATACATTTTTTGCAAATATACACTATTTAAATTGTAGCATTAGAATATTTACCGTAGATGACATGCAAAATGGATGATTTTTTTTTTTCCCTTATTGGAAAGTTCTATAGCCTGTGAGGCGCAGAACCAAGCCTCCGACTCTGGTGCATATATTTATTTTAGGCAGAACTTCTGCAGCTCATGAACATTCCATAACCTGCAAGAAATATGGTCACTGAGACATAAATGAGCAAACTCTATCCTACAGTGAACTGTCTCTATAAAAGTTAAGAATGAGCCTAATGTTTTCAGGAAACCTTCTACGCAGTCCACATGAATATTTTGCATTCTAAAGTGTACTTAGTTTACTTTCTGCAAAAACATTCTATAACATGAAATGGAATCCCTATGGTTAAAGAACTCTTGGTTTTAGAGATAATGTATTTAGGGTGCATTATAAAACTTGCATGAAAGAGTAAGGCCTCATATGTCAATGTGTGTTTACCAAAAGGTATTTAACCTTGCCTATCAAGCTCTGGAAGTTTTAATTAGATTGTTGGCCATTGGAAAGTCAAGTTCTCATAAGATCACATTAAATCACCATAAATGTACTTCATGATATAGAAGAAGCAGACAAGTTGTGCATAGCGGGGTGTTATACTACCCTCCTTGCAGAGTTTTGCAAATGCACACATTTTTCTGTACTCAGGAAATCAAATGCAACTTCCAAGGTAGCTTTTCTGTAAAATTAGCTATTTAGACATGTTGTGCTTTTGTGAAGTTTTCACAGCGCACAATCACAAAGTATTGGTGAATGTGAAATGTCAGTTTATTTGTACAGAATAGACAATATAGGGTTTAATCTTAAAATGAACTCAGAAAAAGTGTTCATAGACATTTTTTAAAATCTCTGCAAATACCAATGTCATCCATGGAGTTGCATAGCAGGGGTACACAACCTGTGGATCATCACTCCAACTGAGGTTCTTGGGTTTATCTTCAGATACCAGGATTGTCAGGTATATTGAACATTACATATTGGGAGTCACATAATTACAATTTCACTTTTAGGCTACTTGGCTATTATAGTAACTGTGCACCAATGGTATGGTGAAGTTTAAAGCTGAATTCAGATAGATGTAGGTGATACACATCAAAGCAGCTCTGTATTCATTAAAGCTGAAGCTTGTGTTAAATTATATTTAGCCCTTCAGCTTTATTGGCCTACCTTACCTGTAATGAAGTATGCCCCACGTCGTTCCCAGGAGTCCATAGATATTTTTACTTTTTGTCTCTAAATTTCCAGCACACAGGGAACCTGCTCCATCCTCTCACCTCTTCCTTGGAGAAAAGCTTTTTCGTCACTTTCACTGCCTGTAAAGTGATCTGTAAATGAGGGAGAGAGAGTTCTGTGACTCCCCAGAATCTCCCCCATTCACAGATCGTGTTACAAGCAATGAAAGCAAATTAAGAGTAGGGGCTATTAAGTTCAGTCCAGAGAAATGGAGCTATTAACCCTTTGCGCTACAGAGGTTCAGAGACAGGAATATAAGGGCATCCCTGCAGTGAAGATGTCTACAGGATTCAGGTGCCTGCATGACGTGGAAGATATTCTTTATCGGTAAGTTAGGTCAATAAATAAGTTCAAAATACATAATTAAACCTTTATTAATGTAAGCAGTGTAAGAACCTGAATTTGACTAGGTATCAGCCTCTTGTAATCTTTCTACATGATGCTCATATGCTAACAAGGAACATACTGACAGAAGGAAAGAGCAGAATGACAGAGATGATCTCATCACTCTGCTGCTTCTCCTTTCACTGTCCAGTCACTGGTTGGGGGATGGACAAGACCCTCAGGTGTTACTTAATTGCAGCAGAGAAATCAGGTCTCCTGTCTTCTCAGACAGGGCTGTGCTGTGAAGCAGAGCAGTATAAATCTTAGGACTAGATGAAAAGAAATATAAATCCTTTGGTAAAACAGCTCCAATATATGAATTGTTTCTGTTAATGAAGCTGTTTGCCCAGAGTTCAGCTTTAAATAACTCTGAAAAAATATATAAAAACCCCTTTTGTTAATTATAATATTCCTTACATAGGTACAAACATTTTTTGTCCTTTAAGTGAGTTATTATAATTACCTGAAATCTGCCTTTATAATAACATGCCATACACCAGATGGTATCTGAAATCAGGGGTAAAAATGTTGAATTAGCAAAGGGTGAAAGCTCAAGGTGGGTGCCATCAGTGTGATGATGTCTGAGCAGTCCAAATAGCAAAAAGAAGGCTGAGTCCTTCTTGATACTATATAGCACCACAAGATCAAAAGAGTATATGCACTCCTTTAAAAACCTCCTAAAGGTAAAAAGTTCTCTATACAATATATAGGTTTCATTTGTTCGGCTTACAATGCCCTTCAAAACAGGTTGGGCACCCATGTTCTACTCCCTGCAAAAATATATAAAGTTTCTGCCTCTTACAATAGTTTTCTATAGTCCGCAAGGCCCAGTCTCTGCTTCTCACAGGAACAGAACGTAGACACAAACTGTTCCATGTGTATTAAATGTTTATTGGTAGAGCAGTAGCATACATATTTGTAGTATGTTGCTAACTCCTCTATAAATGGGAGGGGTATGGACATACAATTTAATGGTGTATACTTTGTTACAGTTAGAAAAGAACAAAACAAAACCCAGAAACGATGCATGTACAACACACTATACAGTAAATACACATTAATTCAGAAACAAGGCTTAATGTTCTCTCATAGTCTGACATCTTGGAGACACACAATGTTGCTGTTTTGCTGGTATTGTGAGACTGGGCAGGGTACATAGTAAAAATGTATCAAATTGGTTTGGGAGCTTACCATTTTAAGGAAAAAGTAGCTCTGCCATTATCTTTTAACTTTTACCTCCTGGGAAAAATAATATTACATATAATTGTATCTTGAAAAGGCAATGGGACTTTGCTATAAAAACAAGTGCTGAAGAAACTGATGGTGTTGCCCATTATGACAACTAATCAGAGTTTAGCTATTGGTTTCCAATTAAACCCAATTAAAGATGTACTGAGGTTGTAGAACAATACAGACTATTTTGGAGCAAATGAGAAATACTTTGTGCCTGCACACAGCAATTGTACTGGGAGACTGCTGATGTCAAACAGGATATATGGGAGGATGAAGAAGTGTGTCCAAATGGCTTTTGACTCTGCTGATACAGCAAATTCGAAATTAATACCACAATTCACTGTCTTTCAGGCAACAATGTTAAGATTGCCAGATGTTGTAGAGAGTGGACATGTGGACTGGGTGAAGAAGTAATTTGCCTGGGGGTCTGATCATTTCTGAATGATCTGCTCTCCTTAGATAAATAGAGTAGCCTATAATCTATAAATTAATAATATGAACATGCTTTTAGATTTCTTCCTGAGCACCCTGCGAATCCTGCATTCAGAGGGCCTTTGTTTATGTAAATTATGTGTGCGAGCCTCTTCCTCTTCCTTTTGCCTATCTACTGGTCTATGAGGACACTGGACCAATAAAGAGTTGCAGGAAACAAATTCAGTAGTTCTTACCAAGATATGCATATATGAATCTCTACAATTTCTGAGCTGTGTTGGGAAGTAATTTGAAGGTATGTGCAGGCACCTTTACTCAGTTCATGTATAATACAATACAATATAATGGCAAGTCCAACCTAACAGCGATTTATAAAGCAGATATTGTAACTTTTTGCATTGGGCAACATCGCCAAATTTCTTCTGCACTGAATTTAAACAACACAATAGTAAAACAAACAGAAAATTTTGGGTTCAGTTTTTGATGAGCGACGAGGAATGAGGCACTGCATTAGACTGAATTCTGCAGAGTCAAAACGTGGGATGAACTGTTATAGTGAAATCTCCATTCAGTAGAGCTTGCCAATTAAAAATAAGACAACTTGGAAATAAGAATGAAAAAACACTGCTAAAAAAGTCTGAAAATACATTCTCTGCTATAAAAAATTTTTCAAATGTCTCGATCACTGTTTTAAAATCAAAGTGAATGTTGACAGCACGGTGACACTGCATACAATAGTGAGAGGTTTCATAACTGTTATGTGAATACACAAGACGCACATCTAGTTTCCATGTGTTTACAAATCTCATGTATATATATATATTTATATATATTTATATATGCATATAAAAAGGTAGATAATGAAAATTCACAGTTCTTACAGCCATTAAAGTGTCAGATGTGTGTGTGCGTGTGTGTTTGTGTGTGTCTATGGTCAGTTCTATTACAAACTGCAGGTTTTCCCTAAGCTAGCTCAATTACCTGAAATGCAATCGCATAATACTGATCTGTGTCATAATTATCTTTAACATAAGAATAATTTATCCTTTGTACAAGCAAACTAAGACAGGTACAGAAAAAATGTCTATGGTTATTGGCACATTTAAATTGTAGATTGCTTTTTCTTTCATTTTTAAGAAAATACTGTAACCTCTTTTTATATATTTTCTTTTCCAACAATCTACGTCAAGTGAAAATGCTAGTGAATTGATATTGCTAGGATTGGAGAAAAAAAGAAATATTTGTTCTTTCTTCAAGTACAGTTATTTAAGGTACTAATGTGTACACGCACGCAGTATATTAATAAGATACTAGATACCTGTGTACACTCACGCAGTATAGCTAGGATTATTAGATATATAATATTATGAACCACGCTAGAGATTTTGCTTAATAATAATGCAGCAACTAGGCCGTTCCTTTTGCTATTTCTATTGTGTCACTGAATAATAAATAACGGTCAGTTTCCCTAGAACCCTCATGATAGCATGAAAACCTCCTTATTAGCATGAAAGCTATGTATGCTTTTGCAAGTTAAGGAAATGGTTTTCTACTAACCCTAACTCCCCACTGGAAGTACTACTAAAAGGATACCTCTAAACTATTGTGCTAATACCACTGTGTTTAGGTTTCGTGCTTGTGGACGTAGAAGGAATTTGCTGAGTGTGATGGTGCTGTGCATGCTGGGAATGTGCTGAGTGCCCAGAGTGTGAATGGCTAGAGTGGGAGTGCTGTGCATGAGGGTGTTGGATGTAGGATGCGTGCGACGCATGCTGTCCGTGTGGGTGGTACTGGTGTGGTTGGATGTGCTGGGGAGGGTGGTAATGATGATGGTGGTGATACGGTGGTGGGTTCTGCTGCATGTGGCAATACTGTGAATGTTGTGCATGCACTTGTGCCTGTGTTTGCCCCTCGGCTTGTCCTACATGATGACTTGTTGGATGTTGTTGGTGGGAAATCAAAGTGGGGTGCTGCTGCTGGGGTGGTCCAGACAGGTGGCCTTGGGAAGATGGCTTCCCCCTCTTACTGCTGAACAAAGAACCTAAGAGGGAGGAAGAGTTAGGTATACTTTGACGAGAGGCACATTCCCGAGTTGAGGTGGCTCGTCTGCGCATGTGAGGACTGCTAATGATGGACCCCTGAAAAGGAAGCATATAAAAAAAAACAAATTACAAAATATACAACTAGCTTGTTAAAATTATATACTAAATCACCCACTGCTAGAACCAACTACACGCCTACATCTAACACAAACCCACTAGTGTCATTTGCTTGCCATACTTGCCATCAACAGCTCTGGTTGTACACTTAACCAGCTGTTACAGTCATACTTTTACCATCTGAGCTGCAAATAATTTGCGGCTATCTACTTTTCTATTAGCCTTGCCTTTGGGTCTAGTCCTACAAAAGCTACATCTAGGCCTGGGCTTAAAGGGACAGTCATTAGGCAGTCATGGGACACATGTTACCAGAGGCAAACACACAGAGATAGGCGGCTGAACACATGATCAGTGTAAATTAATGGTTTCAAGATGAATGAAATCTCATGAAATCCACATTGAACTACTTTTTTAGAGTGAGGTTTATCTGTCTAGCTAAGTACAATAGCTGCATCTTGATAAATACAGGTGTTTAATTAACAGATTTTAAATAAACATAATCAAACTGACATATAGGCATAAGACAGTCAAGAGCTTCGTTAGAAGTATAAAATGGTGAAGGGAGAGTGTTAGCAGCCAGCTGAGTGGTACATAGCCACTGTGAGGAGGAAGCAGACAGTCGTGTGTGGTGGAGACATGCTACAAGGAGCCAGTAGGTGTATTACAGAGAGCCACAAGCAGCAATCGTGTCCCCACAGAATCATATGAGGCTGGTTTGTCTTGTTTGGAAGATACAGAGTGAGAATCCCAGGCATGCAATATCTGAGGCAAGCAGAATACAGAGGAACAAAAAAGTGTTCAAGTGAAAGGAAAGGTATCAAATGCATATCACATCCAGCTAGGCATCCTACTTACTTCCATATTGCTGTCTAGCGATCCTGCACTGCTGCGCCGCCCACGCTTGCCTGCCCAGGACATGCAATACCATAGATTAGACATCGACACAACAGCTGGGAAACACAAGCCTTCCCCTGACTGACAGCCTGCTCATTTATTCTCTAAAGTAAGGCAAGTTGATACACCTGCTGTCCTCCTAATGCCTATGAAACCTCTTCATATTTCACCAGAGTTTCAGTGCTACAAGACCTCTTACTCCACTAGTGGCGGCATAGGCATAGCTGGTTTCTCCAACAGTTGGGGGTTCCCAGTTCCCAGCATGCTTTGCCAACCAGCATACCCACAGGGGTAATATTGACACAGCATAACCGAAACAGACTTTTAACAACCACTGGGAAAGAGCAGTATACCTAACTCCACTTAGTGGTAAACCATAGGTCAAATGGTCTTGTGGAATAAAACCATCTAGTAAATATGATCTTCCAGAATAACTCATTGGAATGAACTTGGCTGAACCTGCGGTGTTCCTGACCTCTCCTCAATCTGAAAAAACTATTTACATTAACTTTGTTACATGAAATGGAAAGGCCACATCTCTTGGTCTAAAATTTCAAACATTTTCTTTACTCACATGGGTTCTTTATATAATTCATTAGACATTTAACCACTATAACTAGTGTCAAGTCTGAAATATCTTTTCAGATTGGAGCAGATAAACTCAAAGGTTAGAGAATAAGTAAGTTACACATAGAATTCTAGTAGAGTATGAGAAATGAAACATCTGCTTGTGATCTAATATCTCTACATCAGCGGAATAAGAGCTAGGAGCACAATCCAGGGCCTGGGCTATGGGTAATGCGGCTAAACTAGCATTGCCAACACAAAGTAGCTTACTTGCATGAGTTTTTGCCGTTTCTGAGAAAGAAATTAAAGGCTGCAAAATGACACTGGATGATTAGTGATGCAATGAATGGAAATGAAACATCTCTTTTTCATATACATTATGTTTTATTAAACTTATTGCAGGGTGTTAGCTTTATTTATCTAGTTAAAGGGTTGGACCACCACCAATTGTATTCCTATTATTAAGAGATCTCTGGCTGATTAATCACTCTGTAAATATTCTTGGGCATCCCAGTGGAGAGTTCTCCCCAGTGGAGTTCCTGGCACTGCTATTTTGCCTCACTACTGCCTTTGCCTCACTATGGATTCTCCATAATATACAACTAATAAAAAAACGCAATGGGGAGAGTGAGAACCTATGACACAACTATGTGGAGTGATATGGGATCTTGCCAAAGAACCTGCAGGGGATAGAAAAAAATAATGGCAAATTAGCATTTAGCCAAAGCTGCAATAATGCTTTGTGATTACTGACCTTTTACTTGTGCCATAGTTTTAGATCCATGAAAACTCAATATGTGTTTGTATGTTAAAGTGTCTGTAGGCGCCGCATGGAAAAGTGCCTCTGTTTTTTTTATAACAACCAATGACAGTATTCCTTACACTTTCTATTATGCACTATGAAAATTACATTTTGAACAAATTACACACATAATTTAAGACGTGTTTATTTTTCTTTTAAATAAGAACCAAGGGGTTATTTTTAACATAATTATACACTTGTCCAATAATAAAATTTAGAAAGCAAGTATTCTTTGTATTTGTCCAAATTTCTTAAGACAAATACATACTACAAATAGACTTCCTCCTGATTTCCTGTTCTAAGTAAGCACAATAGCACAACTTTTAGAGAGGATAGAAAACGATTATCAATGTCTCTATGATAATATGATTGAGGCACTATTTTTCTAGCTATACACATGCCTGGATACAGCTTCTTTAATGTGAATATAGATATATAGTAAGTAAACTTAGGTATATACTGAAATATCTATATATTTATCTACATATCTATATATATATATTAGATAAATATACACCAATCTGAAAATGTCCTAAACATACTAAAATAATATACTTTGAGAAAGTTAATAGAATACTTATATTGTGCTTATTACATAAAAATATTATAATCATTCTATATTTTTTCTTATTTTATTGCACATCCAGCAGTATCAAGTCCAACTTTTGCTGAATTCTAAATGGACATTTCTATAATTATTATCATATTATAAGTACATAAATTCCTAATACTGCTGACAACTGATATCACGAGGATATCACTAAAATTATTTGAAATAACCATCTTCGCTATGTTTAGGCAATAAGAGTTACTTAATGTGAGCTTTTAACATAAATCTTGATTCCTTATGTGCCCTGTGTATTAAAACAGAGAGATTCTGATCTCCCAAAATCCTTTTGTAAACACTGATTTACTGACTGAAGCATGACCACAAATATGCAATGTCTCTCACAAAGCATATTAACCCTTTGGTGTACCTGAAGGTGTACAAGGGGGTAATAGGGGGCTGCATTCAGTAAGGCTGATCAACATGTGTTCCTCTAACAAAAATTATATAGGGTCCTTTACTTGCCTCTGCAAGTTCACAAAAGCTGCCACCAGAACATGCATTTCCATGTTTGTGTATGTACTGTAGACTTTCCTACATCCCTTTCTCTGACTATGAAAGAGAGCTTAGAGGAAGGGTTTAAATATGAAGATGGATCATCCAATAAAAGAAAAGAGGTTTCCCACCCTTTACGGCATCCTTACAGCAGACAAGTGGATTTTGGGACAGTCTTAAAGAACTAATAAAGTTACCAGTTCACCAACCGAGATGCATAACAAGCAAGTCTAGTACCTTAGCAAAAAAAAAAAAAAAAAAAAAACCAGGGAAATGTGGACATCATTAGCATTTGGAGGTACCACTAAATGTCCTATTTGTTGCTGAAGCAGTATATCCGAATTCCATTTCTCCAGCACATTTGTCATCTGCTAAAAATGCCATATACTTGAATAGCTCAATATACTGTATGCACCTAGACATGCTTCTGCTAACTCAGGTTGGCTTGATATCAACACTGTTCGTGCTTTTAACTAAACAATGCATTCTCCAGAAGAAAAATATAATATAATATTTTTATGATAGGACCTTTGCCGAAAACGCAGGCAATTATATTTAATACACAACTCAGACTAGTAAACCTTATTACAGTAAGATGTTTTAGACTGAAAAGTAGACCAACCACAACTACATCTTCAATTTACTTCTCTGGCTAATGTTAAATATAGAATAAAGAAATAAATATTAATCAAATAAATAAATAAAAAATGTAGAAAAAGAATATATTGTTAAAAGAAATGAAAATATACAAATAGCACTTAGGTTGTCTTTAATAAATTAATATATTCAGGAATATGTAGTGTGAATCCTTATTTGGAAACAGAAACTTTCCAAAGTGCTCAGTCAGCTCCATAAACATCAGTTTGACATAAGCTGAAATGTATCTGCCACAGGTATTTCAGCCTTTAAAATCCAGTATTATTACAGTGCCCTGATGAACACTGGGGCTAATTTTGCAAAACAGTAGCAAAAGTAAAGCTGATTCTCATGACAATCATTCAGGTTTCATCTTTTATTCAGAGCACAATAATAAGAAATATTGTCTGCTATAAAATACTGATCTGCTTCTGTTTCAGTTCTTTCAAATTAGTCTTGGCATAGTGCCTAATAGTGGCATTTAACAGGTTTTAGCCCACACTCTTTAAATAAGCAAAATGACATAAGCCTTATAGGTGCATAAACGAAGGTTAAAATTCAAACTGACAAAAAGTAGAAGCATACAAAGTTCTAAAGAGAACTTAAAAATTCTCAAGTTTGCTGCAAGCAGTAATAGCCGATACACACGATAAGAACATTGTACGGAAGTATCCATATGAGGAATGATTGGCTGATTATCTGATCGTTAGTACAGTGCTTTCGACAATTGATTCTGACTTTTTGGACAACAAAAACTGAGTGTGCAAGCGTACGTGAACACAACATCTGGTTTTCGTTTAATGTGTACAGTAATCATACCAAAATAAAAGAATAGAATAAAAGACGCATAATCAGAAGCAAAGAACGACCCTACAATTCCTCATCTACTACGCTAGTAAGAAGCTACCTTTGCCTAAGTCACGCAAAAAATTCCGTACAAGTTAATACTATTGTCGGTTACATCATGATACACACTTTCATGGAAAATCGGACGATCACTTGTCCGATTTTTCAATAGTGTGTACTAGGCTTTAGTTTAGTAATACCAACTCCCATGTTTCTGTCATGACAGGTCAGGTATACTTTAAAAGAAAGTTGTTTGGGACAAAGCTACTCAAGACACAAGCCTCTGTAACAAGCTCCAGTTGCTTCTCATTTAGTCAATAACAAGACCTGCTTGTACAGAACAACTCAATCTTCTTTCCCAAATCAAAACTTTCAAGCAAAGGTAATGTTAGTAATACATACTCACACAAAATATTTATTATGATATAAAGATACTGTAACAATAAAGCAGGTTCTGTCACTGCTGTCTGTACAATACCCACCTCTATTCCAAACTATGTCATGAAAAAAATGAAAATCTTAGTAATGAAAAATCTAGCCACACAAACATGAAATTACAACTTGAAAAATAATAATAATTGTATCTAGTGTGGCAAAAACAGAATAGCAATCATGCGGCAACAAATTTTAAATTTATACTATACAATTCCAGAGCTAAATGTGCCTTCTTCAAGAACAGTTTGTCCTAAATGTATCTGTACACAATGTGACTTAAAGTGGTTGTAAACCCTTTTATATACCCAGTGTCGTGACTAGCCTCCTACATAAGTGGTGCCTGTTTATATGTAGCACTTTCTCCTCTACATCTGTTCAAAGTGCAGAATTTATACAGCTTGTCTTAGCGTTCAGAAAGCAAGGAGTGAGGAGCTGAAGTTAGACTCTACAGAGCTCAGTGAGCGCTTACTGGAGGAAAGGGACCCCCCCTTCATACAGCACGCAGGAATGGAGCTGAGGCTGTCAATCACAGACTATATGCCAGAGCTCTCCTCCCTGTCACCATTTTACCTCTTGGTGTCAGGAAAACATGTCAGAAGTGACTCATGCCGATAGCAGAGGAA